TGTTTCAAAAGATAATTACTCAACATTATCTTTATCTCTCTTATCTTGCCAACTCACATGCTGATCTGTCATGGGGCCCAGGATCCGAATCTGACATGGCTCAAAACTCCTCCAGCCAATAAAAATTTTACACGTGGCATTAATCTAAAATTTTGCAATTTATGGTGTAAACAATAGGTATATGGTAAAACTTTTTATTTAGTAATTTGAACTAATGGAAAGTGGTTAGAATCTAATCTGATAGTGAATTGAAATTGAAAAAACTACTTTAGGTAACTTTTTGTATTAAACCACTAGTGAATTGAAAATTTATAATTTTATTGATAAATTTATCCCTTTTAATTTTTTAATTTTTGACCATAATTTTTAATTAATACTTATCTAATTGGTTTCAATTTTATTTTTTGTTTCCAATAACATTAAGTAATTATTATATTTTTATTTTTACCTTAATTTATTATAAAAAAATATATTAACTTAATAAACAAAATTTGCTAATTAAATAAAAATATTAAAATTTTTTGTATTTTATTTAAAACTAATATAATTTTTTTCTTTATTAAAAATAAAAATTAGTGCATAATTACACTATTTTAATTAATTAATTTATTATTATTATTATTTTTTATAAAATTAATAATTTTAATAATAAAAATAAAAAAAAAATAAATTTAGTTATTTTTTAAACATGCCCTTGTTAGTCACTTAATTTTAAATAATAACTACTAATTATTGTAAAATCAAACATTTATATTAATTAAATTAATTATTTATTATTCGCTACTTGTCTTTTGCTATCTGCTGCATGTTATCTATTAATTACCATCTGCTACCTTTTATTATCATTTGCTATTCATTGAATTTTAATTGCTATATCAAATAAACCCATAATTTATTTTAAAAGGGATTTTTGTTAGAGGACTGAGTTGCTTAAATCTTCAATCTTGGGGATTTTAACAAGATCAGGGTGGTAGAATTTTAATTGGATTAAAATAGTAAGGACTTAATGTCTAAAACCCTTCTCTGCAGTTTTCCTCGTTCATCCGCAGACCATTTTTAAACTTGTGAAGCCGCCGACTTCCTTATCGTGCTACAATACGTTTTCTTCTCCGAATCCCTTGATTTCCCTTTTCTTTTCTCTCTTGAGAATAAATTTTTGGAAATAGAGATTCCACTAACAATCCGTGATTTTGCGGGGGAATTTCAGACCTCATTGCCGTTCTTCTCCCTCCTCAATCCGTGTACCTCTGGTGTGTGTGGGTGTTCTTTCTTCCATTTTCTGGTAAGAGAAACAGCCACAATTCATTTCTCATCTTTGATTTGAAGTGGGCTGACTCTATTCCCTCATCCCGTCGATTTTGGGTGGTTTTCGGTAGCTTTCCCTTTGTTCTACTAATCAGTTTCCATAGCCGTCGGTTTCGAACTCCTCAACAAAGAATTCTGTTATCTTAACAGCCTTTTGAAGTCTGAATTCTAGTCCTTATAATCACTGTGATGTAGTTCATTGATGGGTAGTTAAGACATTAAGAGAATATACAAGAAAACTGGTTGGTATAGAGGTGAAATAAGGGCTGTTACGGTAATTGTGTTAGCATAGAATTTATCCTTTCTGTCTGTTTTGTGCTGCTGTAATGTAATCTGAGAGCGTGGCGTTGAATTGTTATGAGGCATGTGGAAGAGTCAAATATGTCTAAAAGGATTATTATGCTTTGGTGCAATGTGTATATATGTGTGCGCGCGTGTGTGTGTGTGTGCGCTTGTGTTAGGCTATTGATTTTGATCTTGGTTGTTTTCATTCTAAAACGCATACATTTAGTGATGAAAGAGCTAAAGGAATCAATTGAGTGGTTAGAATTTTGGTGTCAATAATACATGTGGGTGCAGCCAAATAATCTATTATACATAGACAAATTGTTGGTTGTGTAATGGTGTAGGAGCTTGGTTTGTCCATGGGTTTGTTTCCTTTTTTTTTTTTTGGCTCTATAATTTTATTTTTTATTGCTGCTGGAGCCTCTTAGGAACTTCAATGTCCATATTTTGCAGTTGTTGTATATCAAGAAAATAATATAGCTCTTGATCCATATATTTGGCCACTCAAACTCCCTGTAATGTTCTGTTTAAGTAAACCAAGATGGCTGCCAAATATTATCTTTTAAGGGGATATTGTTTCTTTTAGTCTAGGTGCATCAATTAAACTTAATCTACATAAATAAAATTCTGTTATATAATTCTGAATTTCTGAGTTTAGTTGTCATGATTATTATCGAAGAATCCACTCTTATTCTTCTCTAGGTTTGTGATCATCTTTGTCTTCATAGTTCTTGGTTCTTGTGTTGTTTTTAATTTTATTGCAACATGAGGTAAGTGAATTTGCAGTTTTTTCCCTTGGTTTTTAAACTGAGGTTTTAAAGGCATGCTTCAAACCGTTTTGAGGTGGTGGTGGGACTTAACCATTTTCATGATGACATGAGCATGACATGTTTTGATATATAAAGTTTATATCTGTTTATTTTTCTGAAAAGCTTGAGTATACTTTTTGTGATTGCTACAAGATTATGAATTATGCATGTTTTAAGTACGGTATTTATATTCCTATATTGTTTTGTCTTTGACTTGGTCATGATTACATACTCACTAGTGGGAGTTTGGTAAACTCTGGCTCATGTCAACGTGTATTATTGAAAAGTCGATTCATCTTGTTATGTTACTGATATCCTGCCAGTGGGAGTTTTGTTAAACACTAGCCATGACCAACTGGGGAGACTACTAAATGACTGTTACTATGCATTACTAGATTATGGCTGAAGTTATTGGTTTGATATTCTATATCTAGCATGCTTTCTTTTAAATTAAATAGGTCTATTTGTAATTTACTTACTGAGTTATGTCACATTATTTTTCCTGTTCACCATTTTAGGTAACGAAATGAGCTGTTGGAGTTAGGGTAATTGATGTGCTAGATGGCTAGTTCATTTATTATTGCATTGATGCTAGTTTTTGGATTTTAGACATGGTTATTAGATGATTTAGGTGATATTGGATTTTATCCATAATTGGATTTAGTTAGCTATTTGACTTTAGATTATAGATTATTTGAGCTTTGTTCACTTGTGGACTTCCTCACCAGTGTACAGTCTGTTCCGCTCCCAATTTGGGGCATGACACTTTTTATCTTAACTTTGATTATTCTCTCTTTACATCTGTGGTTATGCCCCTGCCATATTCGTTCTCATAGTTTTAACTTGAATGATTCCCTCTTTTGTTTCCCATTCCTCTTTAGTTTTTTTTTTTTTTAATGTAATTTCCCTCTTTAAGATTTGCAGCTTTTATGCTGCCTTCTATTATGTACATTATACATTTTGATTTTCTCATTCAATGGCCATGCTTTTATTTTTATATTTTTGTATAGATGCTACTTAGAGATGGATGATTCAAGTAGGGCTGATCTTGTAAGCTTCCTCAAAGTTATTCCCCCTGTGGATTTCTGCTGCATATATGGCTCAACACTCCATCCAAGCAATCACGATAAGGTTTGTCTTTCTAATTCCTAAATGAATTTTTTGATCTATTTGTACATATGCATGCATGCCTTTTTTTTCTTTTACGGTTTTTATCTGAGTTTTGGTTTTCTAGTCAACGATGGTAGATTACATTCTTGGCGTGTCAGACCCCCTGCAATGGCATTCTGAGGTGAGTTTGTAGATTTTATGTTATGTAAGAGCAAATCTATTGTAGAATGAGCTTTCCCTTTTTTACATCAACTTGATTTAGTTTATTTTGCAACTAGAATCTTAAAATGAATGCAGATCACTATGCAACGTGGATGGTGCTGCTTGGTGGGGCAAAACTGGTGCTGTACTCTTTTCACTTTGTTACCACCTCAAGTACAAAATAATTTATCCTACTCAGACTAGAAATTTTTCTCTTTTCTAGATTACTGAAGTTGCTGATGAAATAGGTGTTGGGGTACACTTCAATCCATTTGTTACTTGGAATAACAAGGTATTGACAAATTGAAAAAAGAAAAAAGTGTGGTCAGTTGCATCACTTTGTTGTGCTTTCTCAATTTATCATTTATGTATTTGATTTCCAAGCTTCTGCTTCATCTTGGAGTCTCTTCTTGTATTTGCTCACATTTAAGATGTTATTCATGGCAGATGCTAAAGTATGGGGTTGTTCGAATGCACAACTTGGTCCATGACATACTGAATTGGGAGAGATTTTACTTGAGTGGCCGTTTACAAAAACCAGTGTGTTTTCACTCAGCAATTCTATTTTCTTTATCTCTTTATTTTTTTCTGCTGTTGTTTCTGTGAAAAGAATGGGTGGTGGAAGATTTATTTTCTTATAAAAGTATGTTTCCAAATATGAGATAATTTTCTTAAGGTGTTATGTTGACATCACCCTTGTCATGTGACCCAAAGGTGAAAATTTATCATCTGCATAGCAAACTCATAGCTTTTTCTATGTGAATGTTTAGGAATACAAGGGGGAGCACTGCCAATTTGAACTCCTTTTATAAAGTGTGAAAAAGGATAATTTGGTATTATTTATAGCTTTTATTTTATTCCCCATTTGGAGCCATTTTCTGGAAAAATCTGTCAAAATCTTTAGTTTTATATGATCTGATACATGTTTTGAATTTCTGGTGTTAATTTTAGATTTTGTCTAGATATGTCAGTTTTTGGCCTCTCTCTGTATTTAATATGATGGTAATCCATTACTATATCTCATCGAAACCATAAATGATCATTGGCGGGCAACTTCTCAAAGAGGTCAGCTGGTGACTTGAATGGTATTCTGTCAGCTGTAGCTTTGGCTTTTGTTTTCTTCCATCAGCAGCTTTACATGGCCACCTAAGCTGTAGGGTAATTTGGCCATGCTACTAATACTGACTGACTAAAAAAGCCTTACAATTTCTGCCTAAAAATAAGTTCTTAGGGAATGCTTTTGTTAAATTCCATATTCTTTTCACGTTAACCTCTCTTACATATCTTTAGGTACTCTAGGTCCTTGCAATCAGAATCTTGTATTTTCTCTGTACTTCTATCCCTATTCTGTCCTGTGATTTGTCAAATTTGGTTGTTATCTTCTTTGTTGTATACTTGTATTCATCTCTGTTAGTTAAAAGAGTATCACTATTTGTTTAATGTAGGTAAACATTCTTTTGGATAATCTGGACATTGAAAATGTAAACTCTGTTAATTTGAGGGCTGCACTGTCTGTGGCTCTTCTCCTTTTACCTCCCAAATTCACTGAGGTTTGTTTTTCTTACCACTTTTTGATCCTTTTAGATATACACCAATGTACATATTGATTTCTTGTTCACACAGGAAGATCTGTATGCCAAAATATGTAGCCTCTCATACATGGGTGACTTGCGTATGCTTTTTGCAGAGGATAGAAACAAGGTAAGGCTTGCTTCATTTTTTTTTTTTTTTTGCTGTAAAATTAGTAAAGGCTTGATTGCAGGTGAAGTAGAATTTGGAGGAAAAATCCTTATAGCACTGATGGCTTGGTCCATCTTTTGAAATTTTATGGTAGTTTAATTTGTATATGTTTCAGGATAATTAGCCAGAATTTTGAATTGCTTCTGATATATGTTTCAACTCATATGAGACATTGGTTTTACCTCAGTAACATCTCAGATGCAATTAAGATGTGCCTGTAGAATGTGGTTTGAAAATATGACTTTTAACAATTTATGCTACCTTCACCTCTACTCTTTACATGTGTTTTCTGTAATAGTCACTGCATATAAAGATATTTATGAAATGTTTCTAATTTTTTTTTTCTTGTTCATGATTCATGCAATTTGCTGAAGGTGAAAAAAATTGTCCATGGGCAATTTTATTCATTCCAGTCCATGTATAAGCCATTTCTTGAGGAGTATGAGGGCCAAGACTTCTTGAGGTCGTCATCATCTGGAAGTCACCAGGCATACATATTGCAGGTTGGAAACCAAAATTGGTTGTAAATTGTATTCTTACATCTCTAACTTCCCAAAGTGTGCTTGACATTTTTCTGTCATGTAGAAGTAAAATTCTTGAGTGCAGTGTTTAACTTTTGAACTCTTTTAATATTCAATGTTGTATGATATGAGGTCATATTGCATATTTTGCTTATATGTGCATTCTTGACGAAGCAGTCTTGATGAACTTGCACCCAGTGAGCCAACATCATTAAAAAACATTTTTATTAACTGAAACTTGGTTGTTAATATGAAAATTTATGAAATTTTAATTCATGTCTCTCGGAATGTTTGCTGTATAACATTATCATCTTTACTACAATTGACCAACTAGATTTTCTCTCTCTAAATCAGGACTGTAGCCCAACAGTAACTTCTTCTCTTGTTTATCGTCTTCCTCCAACAATTAGAAGCCAGATGGGAATGAAGCTGGGACAGAAGAAAATATTTAGTGAATCTGGTATGTGTGGAATTATTTTTGATTAACATTCATAATTCCATAATTCTAGATTTATGTGCAATCCCTCTATAGGTGGTAAAATCAAATCACAGAATTAGAGTAGCCAGGGTTGGTGCGATAATTTTTCATTGCAGGTCGTGTTTTACATGAAGTTGTTATCAATTCCAGAGAAGAGGCTGCAAAGTGCATGCAGCAGGTGCTGAGGCGAACAGTTATGATTTCAAGTGCAAGGCAGGCGATATCAGGTCTACTGACTGTTGGTAGTATTAAAGCTGCTAGATATCTTGGTAATAAAATGCAGAAGGCTTGGAGGTCATGGAGATGATCCCTTGCAATTAATTCATTTCATAAGAGTTGCAAAGCCTCTAGAGTTTGCAATGACTGCTACAAGGCTGCTAACTTCTTCAGAGAAACAAGCTATATATAATAAAAAAATACAAATGATCCAACTTTTTTGTTCTAATTGCATTAGTAGATTTTAGATTTAAGAATTCAAATTTGGCATATTTATTGTTCAAAGTGTATCGTGATACAAAAGAACCTGCTGATTGTAAGAGCTACTCTGGAAAAGCTACAAGCTCCAAATTCCAAATGCAGCTTTACAGGATCTCGACCATTTTCGTTCTGGAAAAAAACAAAGGGCTTTTACCAGAACCACATTTATTTAGATTCTAGAACTATCCTAAGAATAAATGCCACCAGATTTAATTCATCCAATGTTACCATGATCGTTGCTTATGTGTGTATATTAGTGATCAATCTGTATTCAGAATGAAATCAAATAAAAATCCGGTTTTCAATACCAATGTACCTTTCTGCTTGCTTGTCCTCATTTTCCTGCAAATAATTTCTACCTTCGGGATCGCAATAATACCCAAGGATAATAAATTCTTCCCGATAATCCGAATGACTCTCCGGTGGTCTCTCTTGCAATGGTTTCTATTCAACTCGATTTCGAGGCTTTCTATAAAGGTGGCGGTACATGCTTCTAGTGCGGTAAACAACAATCATGCTCAAGACCATGGCAACAACCCAGAGTCCTGACAAGATTGCACGATTGATAAGAGTAACATATGGAACTCTCACAAGTTAGTGAATGAGCATCATGAAGACCCATTGTCAGCATCTGTTGAAATCTAGCTTGATTCTCTGGATAATGGTCATACATGTTAATGTAGTTGTTTACAAGGGTATTTTTATCTTTTAATCACTAGGGCCATAAATATATATATGACATCCCTTTAGTAACATAATTGATTGCATAATACACACGTTATTTTCTACATAATATCAAAACCAAAGTAGTCAATACCGTACCGATATGCGTCTCGGTTTTGCTACTGAAACGGTACGTATCGAATACCGAAATTTTTCGTGTACCATTTCGGATTTATCACTATAAATATATATTTTTATAAATTAAATATCAAATTTTAAAATAAGATAAGGGATACTAATATTTAAAAGCATCATATTTTTATAAATTGAAAACAAGTTTAAAATGATCATTTTTAGTTTCTCAACTTTTAATATATACATATTTTTGTCCATCCATTTTAAATTAAGGAACTAAAAATGTGTATATCTAGATAAATTTAACAAAATAATTGATAGAAGGACTAAAAAAAATGAAAAATGGACTAAAAAAATACATAAAAAAGTTAAAAGATGAAAATTATATATAACATTAAAGTTGAGGACCAAAATGAAATTTACCTCTTTTTAAATTTAAATTGAGTTATACTAACAATTTTTGGGACAGGTATCTGAAATTCCAATTGCAGGGTATTAAGAAGCTCCTAGCCCAAGACGACGTTGTTTTGGGCTAGGAAATCCTTTTTTTTTTTTTTTTTTAATTGTTAGTGTGTACTGA